GGCTTAATAAGGGCTTATTTGGGCTCCCTCCCCCTCCCCTCCCTCCCCCCCAGCCCCCATTAGCTGTCAAAGTTGGCGAGAGACTGCCAACATCAAGCTTGGTCGGGGCACGTGACCCATCATGGACTTAGAGCCTGACAGCAGGATCTTTTGTTGTCAAGTTCCATGTGTCTTGGGTGGGTTTTCTCAGCCGAGCCGGATAGAGGCCATTTGTTTATCATCACGCTTCCTGGAAGGCAAAGGAAGAATCTGGGGCTGGAAGGGCCTCGATGCAGGCCGGTGGGGTCAGGTTTTTCATATGCGCGGATGCTCGCGGAACAAATCTTAGATCCTCATCGCTGGAATGGTGACGGGCGCTTTCCAGACTGGCGACACGTATGGTGTGACGCGCTGGCTGAACCAATGGGCGCTGACGCTTGGACCGGTTTTTGGCAAAGTCTTCAGAAAATCGTTTTTGCCTCGCGGAGTCTTCAGACAATTGGTGGGCTGTCCAGAAAATGTGGTACCTTGCAAAATGTATGAACCCCACACCCACAGAAGGTCGGACCAGTCGAGGATTCAGACCCGGTCTTCGATCCTCTTTGGTCCTTTCTGTTTCGCAGTTGTTCAGTATTGGTTCAGCACCGGTTTTGACGGTTTAGTATTGTTTTAGTTTTGCATAGTACTGCTTATCCTGGTCTAGAATTGTTTCAGTCTTGGCTTAGCACTGGTTAGTCCTTTAGAACTCCACAGGTTTCTTGTACGAGGTTCCGAGGGGGTTCCGAGGGGTTGCGTGGCATGGAGTTGTCGAGTAGGCTAGCCCTTCGTGGCCTTTGTGGGTAAGAGCTCCGGTTCAGCAGGCCAAGCAGCGAATGAGAACGGAAAAGAAAGCAGCTGGTTCCCGAGTTCCCGGTTCTCTGGTTTCTTTTCGGGGATTTGGGATGTTCCGTACTCATTAAGGACATTCAAGATGGAGGTTGATACGGTGGGATGGTCGGGTGTTGTGTGCCTTTATTGATGCCCAATTAAACCAGGTTCAACATTTGTCACCCCCTAAAATCCACAGGAAGTGAGGCTTCTGAACACAGGAGAACACTACCAAACGCACAGGGCTGGTCTCAATTGTGTTGGATCAGAACTGGTCGCACAAGTTGAGATTGGACTGCAGGAGCTTCATTGATCCATCGATCAGTCCAGTTTCCGTTTGCGTTTCATTTTGCGTTTCGGACATTGTGCAACATGCATTGAACTTTTGTGTCATGCCTCGAGTGCAAAGGATGCACGCCCTGGGAGTGCACAGTTTTGGCCTTCACAGACACCTAGTTTGCGGCAAGCACGGCAAGCACCTAAACATGGACAAACACCTCATTGCACACCTCATCCTGCAATCATGTTTCCGTTGGTTTGTGTTGCATTTGTTCGTTTCTTTGGCATTCTTGTTCATTTTCCGCTGTTTTGGGCTTGAAGGATAGTTCAACATGCATTGGCAAACAAAATAAGATTGGATTGCATCTGGAAATATGCTTTGCACACGCTCGAATCCAGATAGACATGTATGTTCGAAGTCATTTTGGACACATGCAGGACATATTCTAGGGATGTGCTTGGCACATGACAGGTATATGGAATACACATTTCAACCATGTGCTGGAACCACGCTGGGAACATCAAACAACATTGTGCAAGGCACGCTTCACATAATATAATTGCTAGAAACAAGCTAAGCATGTTGGGACCGGTAGAAGGGCTAGATATACGCAAAATATGAGAAGGACAGATACTAGGACAGTATTAAACACATAGTAGACATGTGATGGATGAGATTGCATTAGGTTACACATTTGTGCTTTGTATGTTAGCTGGGCAAAAGCCTAGCAAGACAGATAATACAGTTGCAGCCTCATTATTGGGCATGACACATGCAAGGTCTGTGCTGGAAATATCAGATAGACATGTATTATAATTACAGTAGACCACATGCTATATGCATAGTACATACAGATTGTACATACAGATTGAGGACGTGTTAGACATGCTAAACACTGGCTGGGCAAATTCAAACGTGTACCAGCGTACAATGCTGCATTTTGCATTCACAATCCACACACTCGAGGCAACAGTATTTCAAAGGCAACGGCTCCATGTCCCTCTGTAGTTCATAACAAATACCCGACAACATTCCAATACATCACAATGTCACAAGGCCCAAGCCAAGTGCACTCTCACAGTGTCCTGCTTTCTCAATCAGTTCAGCACTCCTTTGCCAATCCTGAGCTTTGTGCCAAGTGGCCCATTTTTTGTAGAAGCTGTACCGGGAAAAGGGAGCAAGAGCAAAACCGGCAAAACTACGTTGATTTCACTGATGTTCTGTAGCCTTCTCAAGCCACGGGTGTTACCATTCAAGAAGATTGCCAAGCTGTTTGAGCACCCAAAAGGGGCAACAGTCAGGAATTTGTTAAGTTTTCCGCATTTGTATGCGCATCTTTGGCTCCTAGCGCATCCAATATGGAAATATGGTTACGAAGGGAACAGAATGCCTTTTATCAACGGAGAAAGTCGGCTGCGGTGTCAGCTCACCAAAGATGCCTCGCGCAAGAGAACGCTCCCCTTTTCTCCCCCGTCCATCCAGGTACGCCTACTGCTTCCACGTTGCTTGGGCGAGGATGTTGCCGGTGCCCTGGGGATGCCTTCTCACCTACTCCAGCGTCTTCATCTTCTTCGGCATCGACCTTTGCAGGCCGGCCACAGCTCGGTTGGTTGCATCGGCCAGGTGGTGTTAAGGGCTTGCAGACCTCACTCCTTATGCTAAAGCATGATCCTCTGGCACAAAGGAAGTCTTCTATTTAGTGGCAGATTTTGATAGGTAGAGGCTGTCTGAAGCTTCACTTCCATTCATTCCTGACAAATGGATCTCCGGCTCTCTATCAACTTGGCTCAACATGGAGAAGATGCCCTGAGGTCATTAGCCTTAGTCAATCGGTAGGTGATGCTCCTTTGCAGGATGATTTTCAATGAGTACACAATTACGAAGCTGACGTCTGTCATGCGTCATGCCTGCACCACTTACATCACCCTGCAGGTTCTCCTATTTATGCAGAACATGAGGTTTGTATCCAATCAGTGTCATGCATGGCTTTCTTTGTTGGCCTTCCATTTCCATTGTCGCCCGATAAACTGATTCCGCTTCAAAACAAAGATTAGGCAATGGAGACTTTACTGCTTTGGGCCTGCTCGCAGCATCGAGCCCCTGGTATATAACCCGGCTTGGGACTTGTACCTTTGAGTTATTGTAAAGGCTGCAAACAGGATTTCATCCGGGTCGGGTTGGGGCCCTTGGTGCATGAGTTGCGTGTTGACTTGAGTGGACAGTCAACGCCGAGTGATTGATCCTGCCAGTACATGACAGGCGCAGCATCCACAGCTGCTGAACATGTTGACCACATGTGCAGAGTTCTCAAACAGGGGACCTCTGGACTCACTTTGGCTGGCTTTGACTTCAACAGGAAATAAACCATTACGTTTCAAACACCTGCTTGACTCATTGACCATCCGTAGCAGTGCCATGAAACGGCCCAGATGCCCGCAGCTCGAAAGGAATCGACCCCAAAAGCTCCAAGGGCATGGGCATAGCCGGTCCGGCAACGAGTTTTTGAGTCAAGCGAAATCTGGGAGGCGCCGCAAGAGGCGGGAGGAGACTGAGAGCCCAGCGGGTTCGTCCTCCAACTCACCTTGAGGCTTTGCCTTTGCGATAGCGCAGAGTGTCTGTTCGACGCAGCGATTTTTTGGGGGGAGGGGGAAAGAAGGAGAAGGCCCCAAAAACAAGCAAGTCTGTGGACCTTGAGGCTGTTCAGCAGAGAAAGCACCGTGTGTGTCACTTAATCCAATGGCCTGCCAACTGAGAGCAGGCGGCGCGACAGTTTTTGCGCCCCGCAGCGATCGGCTGAAGCCGGAGCTGCTGGGGAAGGGGAGGGGAGCGCCTGCGTCGCAAAGAGCGCCGCGGCCCCAATTTTCGTGCAACGTTCGACTTTTTAGTTTTTGCTCGATAATCAAATGCCGGATCACAGGCTGGTGAGATATCCACCCAGCCTGGCCAGCTTGGATCATGCGGGTCCGAAGTGGGTCAACTGGCACCAAGATGTATCCTGACCCAGAGAGGTGCTTGCTCGTGAACCAGAAAGGGGCTGATAACATGCTACAAAAGGCCAAGACCAGAGAATGACAAACCCTCACTCTCGGTTCAATTCCTGTTCGCCTCTTTGGTGCGACCATTGGGGAGGACCCAAGTTCGATTGTGGAGATGCGTGTATCACTTTGGTTGCTGCGTTCTTGCTCTCGGCATCCAAATAGGAAGGTGGTGCTGACAAAAGCAGGTGATAACCACCATTTGGCGAAGTGTTTGCCGCACAAGATGGAATTCCGCGCTGGAGCTATCTGCGAGGATGCAAGGTGCGGATTTCCTGCGAACCTTCGCCAGCTTTCTGTCCGGGGCAAAGCTCACCGGCGCAATCGCAGACGTGCGCGCTTGTCCAGCTGGGAAGATGCATGGCAAAAAAGTGTGCCACGAAAACTGCGGGCTTGATCGAGCTCGCAGCTCGCATCGAAGAATCCCGGGGTGTCAAAAGATCTCAAGGACAGATTCGGGAGGGCCTTGGTGCCAGCTCAGCGAAACCAGAACATCTTCTAGAAGCATCTCGAAACAAAGGTGGCTGTATTGCAATAACTTGCTACAGTGGAGCGTTCTGGAGAAACTTGTGGCACGTACACGCTTTTGGGGCCCCATGCCGATCAGTTAAATGTCAACTCTAGTTATGATTGCTTTGTCTTCTTTTCAGAGCCAGCCTCAGCACCTTTTGGTCTCACGACTGGTTTCAGTGAAGTTGAAGTTATGGCCCCGAAAAGGCTTGCAAGGCTTACCTCTATCCGCACTCAAGTTTCCATGTTGCGTTTGGTTTCACTGTGGACTCGGGCACTTAGCACCGCTGACCTTCACCGGCACCTTCTCCAAAGCCACTCGGCACCAG